TAGTGTATGTGTGTGAGAGTTTATGGATGTTTCCCAGTACTGGGTTACATGCTATGTAAAACATATTCTGGATAAGTTGGCGGTTCATTCAACTGTGGCAGCCCCTGATGAATATAGGGACTAAGCCGAAAAGAAAATAAATAAATTGGCTGTAGTGTATGTGTGTGAGAATGTATGCATGTTTCCCAGTACTGGGTTACACGCTATGTAAAACATATTCTGAATAAGTTGGCGGTTCATTCCGCTGTGGTGACCCCTGATGAAAAAAGGGACTAAGCTGAAAAGAAAATGAATGAATAAATAAATTGGCCATAGTGTATGTGTGTGAGAGTGTACGGATGCTTCCCTGTACTGGGTTACATGCTGTGTAAACATATGCTGAATAATTAGGTGGTTCATTCTGTGGGGCAACCCCTGATAAATAAAGGGACTAAGCCGAAGAAAAATAAAAAAATGAATGAAAACTACTATTACTACTACTAATAATAATAAAAATAATAATAAAGTTTTCTGTATTTATATTATATATTGAATAAAAGAAAACCAAAAAATTAACAAAATATTGAATTTAAAGCTAAAAACATTGAAAGTTTTAGGAAAAAAAAACATAAAAAAATTCAGCAAATTGATAGACATATTAAAAATATATACTACATAAAAACAATTACTAAATCAACACAACTAATTACCAAAAACTTTTGCTGAAATGAGAACACCTAAAAATAAAAGCAAAAAAAAAAAACTTCAATAAAACAGAAAAAATACAGAAATTAATACAGTTGATGTATGCGATACAGCAGATATTGTCATTTTTTTGAACCCTTGTTTAACACATAAAAAAAAAAAAAGCCTTTCGCTTTTCTGTGAAATTACTGTGACAAACAAAGTCCTATATTTGGCAGAATATATTTGCACTTTAAAAACAGCCGTAATGACAGCAATTCATCAAACATTTACTCAGCGGAAATACTACTGAGAAATAACTGATTTTGGCAGGATGATAAACTCAGTCGTGAGAGAGATTTGTAGATAATCAGACAAAACGGGCGAAAATTGCATGAATAATTTGTGGAAGTGTGAGTGAGACAAGCGCACTGTTACACAGCGTGCTCCAGGGGTTGGAGCGTCGTCGTCTGCCGAGACGTGGCTGAATTTGACTAATGCCTCTCTCGCTGTGAACAATAGAGACGAATGTTACTTTAAATCCCAAATACTTAAATCCAGCTTTCGATGACTCCAGGCAAATACCATTAATCACACGGGGCCCACCTCGCTCAGCACGCGCGTGCACGGCCAGATGATGGCTTTCCCCGACTCAATCCATCACAGACGTGTCGTGAGCGCGGCCCTTCGTACCGGCTGAGAGCCTCCATGTAGGGGCCCCGCTAAGTGAAAGAGTTACAACAGCTGTACCTGGCGCTGGTCGCTGCTCTCAAAGCGGCCCGGCTCCCCACTTAGAATGTCATCCGGCTCGTTTTAAAAGAGCGTCACGCCACGGAGCGCCTCCTTTGATGTATCGTTCCTCATCTTTACAATTTTGGGAATAACAGGTCTAACTTATCAATTTGGCACCTGAAATCCCACTGCTTACCGTTTTAGCACATTGTGTGCGGGGGTGATGTCATCCCATGACATCGCTTCCTCTTCTCATTACGGGACATTTTTAGACAGGGCCATAAAAATGAGGAAGGGGGCCATTTTAGAATATCCCATTTGCCCGAAAGTGAATCAACTTATCTCCATTATTTCAGAGGTGTGTGTCGGAAGTTGAATTCCACATCAGGAAGCGAAAAGGCGCGAATGTGCAAACATAATCATCGTAATCGCTCCTAATGTCCAAACATAAATGTTTACTGCGCACACCATTGTGATGCTTGGCAGAAAATGTGGCCATTTTGAAGACAACATGGGGGCAAAAAAAGGGGGAAAACGCTATTGCTATTTGTGAGTAATATTTAATTAATGACTTTCATAAATAATGAATAGAGCGGATGTAATTGCAGATGTTTTTATGATGACAGGCTTGGCTTCACTGGGCTTCTTTTTTTTCCTCCTCCCTCTTTTCAATTACCGTCCAGAACAGGGGGAGGCAGAAAGAAGGAATGTAGGGAAGAGAGAGCGAGAGAGAGCAAGGAAGAGAAGAAGTGAGAGAGAGAGAGGCTGGTGGAGGCAGAATTAAAGAGGCTTTTTGTCGCGTTTAATATCAATTCATTCCATGGACTGCTGACACAGGCAGTCCAGAGAGCCCAGGATTTATGGCTCCCTCTAATGGGCATGCTCAGAATCAAAGGCCTGTCGTCAGCACTACTTAAACCACTCCTCTCTCACTCCCTCGCTCCGGCCTTCTCCTCTCCACTCCACTTTTAAAGACACAAACGCTCATTTACAGCTCTACAGCGGCAGCTCGCAACTAGTTTGCTTCAGGACTCACATTTTAAATTGCACATCAAGTAGCAGCACAACTTCAGTTTAAAAGACGGAACTGATTCCTATTTTGAACTGTGCACTTTAAGGAAAACAGGAACCTGTCCACTCTGGCATCTGTCTAATTTGCTGAATTTTAGTTTGATATCAACAACAGGATATGGGAATGTTTAAAAAGTTTATTGGCAATACAATTATTCAGCAGTCCTAACAGTTACAGTATACTCAGGGTGCAAATTACAGGGGGTTTGGGGGGGATTGACCTCCCTAATTAATGCTTGATCCCCCCTGAAGGAGGTCAAAACGTCATGGGGGGGTCAGTTCTTTATTACTGAGATATATTTCACTCTGATCTGTATTTTAAATAATATGATTAATCATTTAAATAATAGATGACATAAATATATATTTGACCACCCCATAATGGTTTAAACCAATCAGTCTATTCTAGAAAAGTCTGAAAGCGGCAGATCTAAAGCATCAATAGACATCTTGTTTACATCTTGATGTTTTCTCGTAAAATATGTGTTTGTATCTATATTAAGCCTGACAATAAAATCATATTAAGACATACTGTTTGTAGTTTAACCTACAGTAACATCTGAAAAAGCTAATCAGAGAATGCTGTAGGTCAGAATACACTAAATATGCCTAAACACTCTGAAAACTTAAATCAATGTTATTAATAAACTAGATGCAAGTAAAAATAAATACATAAATGACTGAAGCATGTATTACACAATCTAACAGTTGACCAGTCGTCAATGTATAATTCGCACACTGGTTATACTTTCAGCTGCATGTATTTACTTATTTTTTTAGCAAGCAGTATTGTTTTATTTTCGCAGGTGGGGACCTTTTCTTTAAAGCACACACATGCTGTAGACACACACCAGGCATGTCTAAAAGCGCCTTTCATTTTGGTCTTATGAGGCAGCTTTGCAATGCTAGGAGAAAAAGAGGATCAAGAAGGGCACGTTTAAAGTTTTTTCTCTAGTTTAGTTCTTGAGTTTATGTATGTTAGGTGAATCTAGCAAGACATATTCATCAATGAAGAAGTTTCTGATCAGAAATGATTGTCTATTAATCATTTTGTATATCAGAAAAATTGCATTTAGACACTTTGTATGTATAGTGGAACTAAAAGAGGAACTCTTTTCTGAAACTAGTTTCAGAAAAGACTATAGTCACAGAACCGACAAGACTTTTAGAACTGCTGAAGTCTGAAGGAATCGCATCTCACACACACACACACACACACACACACACACACACACACACACACACACACACACACACACACACACACACACACACACACACACACACACACACACACACACACACACACACACACACACACACACACACACAAAAGGCTTTTATACAAAGTACTACATATACAATTCAGTACTTCAGTACTTTCTCCTTGTATCATTGCATTTTTATTACACATAGCAATATTTTTACTGAAATTCTTTTGTTTGTTTTATTTGTATGATTGCATTGCTTGGGTTTTTACCAAAATCTGGATTCATTTCATATGAACAGCTACTTTAAAAGATATTTACCACAACAACCATGAGGTGTTCAATACTTTTTTTTTATTTTACCCGCACAATGTATGTATGTACAGTTGAATCAGAATTATTAGCCCCCCTTTTTCCCCCAATTTCTGTTTAACAGAGAGAATTTTTTTTCAACACATGTCTAAACATAATAGTTTTAATAACTCATTTCTAATAACTGATTTATTTTATGTTTGCCATGATGACAGTACATAATATCTTATTAGATATATTTTTTAAAACACTTCTATACTGCTTAAAGTGACATTAAAAGGCTTAACTAGGTTAATTAGGTTAACTAGAAAATTGCTCAAAGGGGTTAATAATTTTGACATTAAAATGGCTCATAAAAAAATTAAAACAGCTTATATCATAGCCGAAATAAAACAAATAAGACTTTCTCCAGAAGAAAAACTATTATCAGACATACTGTGGAAATGTCCCTGCTTTTAAGCATAATTTATAAAATATTTTGAAAAGAAAAAAATTCAAATAGGGGGCTAATAGTTCTGACTTCAACTGTATGTGAGTCTGTATTTATATATACGATAGAAAAAGAGAGATTTGGTAAATCTGGACACATATGAAACTTTCATGCACATAATGACTAAGACTTATCTCTGTTGGATTCTGGTTTCTAGTAATGTAACTAATCCAAAGAGGAAACACCCCAGACAGATGGGAAACAACAATGACATTGAGACATACAGCGGATAAGAATGATATATTAGGAGTGAGACGAAAAGCCTGCAAATGTAAATTGCGCAAAAAATATGAAATCCACCCCATGAATTTAACAGTCAGACCCAATATCAATCCAAGCCTTCCTAACAGCACCATTCAGCTGTCGAACCACAACTTTTTGCCCTATGAGCTTGCAGTGAAATTACTAAATTATGTCATGAATTTTGGTTTCAATAAAATAAAAAGAAAATGACAGCTTGTACACACACAAACAAACAAAGTTTAGATTCTCATCTAGTTCTTGACCTCCACAAATGCACTCACCTGCCCAGCTGGGGGTCTCCATGTACAGCTGTGGCTGAGCTTGTTGGGGTCTTACTGCAACCACAGAAGTGTCTGATTCCTGCAGGAGAGAGACAGAGAACATAAGCCACAGAATTACACAAAAACAAGCAACATTTAATTCTTAAAAAAAAAAAGAAAAAAAAAGTGGTATTTAAATTTCCTTTGAGTCAAAAGGAAGCCCGTCTACCATAACAAAGAGGGTGAGCTCCCAATTTACATTACAGATTGCTCTGAAACTCCTTGTTTTTGTAAGCACGTTTATGTTTTTGGACCTTATTTTGCTTCATATGCCCTTGTTATGGTAATGTATGAGAGGATTGAGGAACATTCAGGAGACCTGCAGGGTTCAGATAAGCTCAGAACTCCACCAGAACCTTCAAATCCTTCATGTACTGTGACTGTGCTTCAAGCTATGCTGCTGCTGGAGTGCATCTGCTGCAATATTTGGATCACACACAGACACACAAACAACACCAACTAGTGTGCTTCCACAAGCAAATAAATGAATAAACAAAAACAATATATTAACTATTTTTAGATGACTTAGTTAACTTTCAAATTTAAGTTACTTAACAAAAAATGTTGTTTGTATTTGTGCATTATTTATTTGATAATTTAAGATGCTGATTTGAGTACCATTTTGTAAAGTCAAAAAAAAGAAAGAAAAGCAACAGGGGCTTAAAAAATGTCTATAGCTACCCTGGCCATCGTTTTTCCTTTTAGCTTCACTTATTTCTTTTCAAATGTCTGTCAAAAGAGCCAGTTTTTTTCAAAGATCATCATAAATTAAAATAAATTATAACTAAATGGTGTTTTTCCAATTTATTTATTTATTTTTGCTTAAATTGTTTTTATGGTGGTTTGAGTTTATTTTGGTTGTGCACTCGAATGAATGAATGAATAGCCAACAGTTCAGATGTGATAATATAAAGATATTAATATTATAATATTATTACCAACCCACCAAATGGGGGTAGATTTCAGCTGTGGCGGGTAAGACAGACACCACCACTAGCCACTTTGGCCGGTTGAAAATAATTTTTTAAATTGTAGTTTTCTTAAAAGCAGGATTTGACAATAAGAATGGCCCGATATTCGTGCAAATGTGATCTTAGAACCGAGAAGCAGCATGACTGAAAAAACAAATTGTGTTCGAGCAAGCAAAAGAAAGCAGGTGGATATGGAATGAGAGGATCATCACTCACGAGCACAGGAGATGGGATGACTTAAAAATCATGTGTGCTCCTGTTTACTAGTGTGAAGCAACCATGCTTAAAGGAAATGCAACTGGTGAAATCGGTTCTCTTTGAAATAGACTGGACAAAAAGCAATGATCGTGCACACAAAGTCCTGCGGCGTTCAGGAGCTCAAGATTTTCTTAAAAACATATCCTTTTTTAAACAGCAGCGGTCAAATTATTTTTTGAACAGATATATTAATAGGCCTAACATAAACTGTGTGCGCGTGATCATTCTTTCGCTATAACATATGGTATGTTTTTACTGGTTTTATTTTACTTGCAGTTATTTTTGTAAACTGTTTAATTACCTTTTTTTTTTTTTACAATAACATTGCTTTAATATGAAATTAACTTCCCATTTATGTGTAGTTACCTGGTGATCTGGGACCTTTAGCCTTGACAGATTACTGTGCATATTTTAGATACAAGACAATAGTTTTTTTTTAATGTCTTTTTTTTTTTAAGAATTTATTTATTTATTTATTTTTTGTTAATTAAAAAAGTGCATGTATACAGCTATATTTTGCTTGTTTTTAAACATTATTTAAAATTTGTTGCTAAGAAATAATTATTTATTTATTTTTGGTGTGGTCAGAGGTAAATCCTTAATTTTGAACCCTGAAAAGTCATGTGAAATCAAAACTAATTGCAATGTGACAACCCTTTTGCTCATGCACATTGAGCAAACTCATACTAAAACACACAAAAAGCTAAATGAATGAGGAGGTTTGTGGACATAACACAAAATCTAAATCAAGTAATTTTAGCATGCCAAAGTCTGCAAATAAAATATTTGTTCCCAACAACAAAACTTGGTGGTTCATTCCGCTGTGGTGACACCAAATTAATAAAGGGAATAAGCCGAAAAAGACTTGAATGAATAAACAAAATTGTGGCTAGTGAAAACAGCAAGTGCCTAGAAATGTTGGAAATCTACTAGCCACAGTGGCTAGTGTTCAAAAAAGTTAATGTCAAGCCCTGATTATTAGTAATAATAATATTGTTAGAAGTGTTAAACTGTAAATGGGACTAGTTAAAGTATAAAGCATAAAAGTATCCTGCAATTGAGCATATATACACGTTAAAGGTTAATCTTAAATAAAGGTACATGTTAAATATACATGATTATAAAAATCTAATTTTGGAAGCTGTTTGGACAGAACTGTGTGTATGTATAGTCTGTTCACAGTCATACTGGAGTGATAGAAACACAATACGTCTCTTATTTAAAATTTTCTGATGTTAAAATAAGATCCGAATCCTTGCAATTCTGAGCAATAGAAACAAACAGCTACAGTGTGCTCAGAGTTGAAAATCCTATGTTCTGAACAATATAGTAGTAAATCTGATGGGTATTTTGAGCTGAGACACATTCTGGAGACACAAAAGTCTCATCTCAAATCTTGAAATGGGGGTAAAATACAGTAGGTGCCATTTAAGCACAAACATCAACATACAAAACACAACAATGGTAAAAACTTTTTCAAACAATATCACTTCGAGAATAACAAGACACATTGTTATCACTTACTGTAAGACAAAGGCAACAAAAATGATGATCAATACAGTCATACAAAAAAGAAAAAAGCAATTGCAGAATTTATTAAGGCAAACCCACAAGTATTTTTCATGGCTGAAAATAATTCTCAAAGATTTTTCTAACTGAGACTTCTGTTTAACTTGGTTCATTTAGATCACATTGGAGATTAGCTTGGTTTATTTTTTACATTTAAATCTTTAAGATTTCAAATAATATTGTCAAACTATATAACATATCCAGTGCAAAAGTACAAGTTATCTATTTAAAGTGGAATTAAGTCAAATCAGCTAAATATGTTTGCCTAAAATGTTTAAGTCAATCTGTCTGCATACAGTTTTTTTCTAAAACAGTGAACATTAAAAGTGTAAAAACGGAAACTGCAACAGAAGCAAGAAGCAATGCATTAACCACACACCCCTGTTAACTCCTTGCAACTAGAAACGACTCTGTCTGATAGTTAGATAAGAACGATAATCATTCTGCTGGTCTGACCTGGCGAGAAAACAGGCCTGATGTCACTGTTAATTTAAAACGGACTGAACTATAGGCAGGTTTGGCTGTGTGTACGTGACTCTTATTTAGCGAAACATTCTGTTGAGTAAGAAATCACTTCACCCTGAGGACTGAGAGGGAGGAGGAAGAAGAAGAAGAAACAGAAAGATGATAATGCTGCAACTTTTCTTTGGACACAGAAAAACACACAACCCAACAAACACGGGGCCTCTAGAGAGTGAATGCAGCACTCGGGACAAAAGAGCCAGTTAGAGCATTACCGTAATTACACGGCCGTAATGGCTTCTATTGCAGGCTATTCAGATTAAATATGCATAGTGCCCTGTCCATTTCCACGGGGCTTGATAAAAGTGTTGTTCCTATGTGTCATTTAATTGTAAGCATTAATCTGAAATATAGAGCTAATGTGTTTATTGAAAAGCAGCACTCCGCCACGCTGAAGCTAAATGTCTTTGCTTTCTGCAGATCATTCTTTCTTTATCAACTCACTTACATCCCTGTTTTATTCTTCTTACCTCTGTTTGACTCTTTTTTCATTACGATTTAATCTTTTTTTTCTTAAAGATACGGGTCATCGCAACGTGAAATTCTGTCATCATTTACTCAACCCTTTATATGTTTTTTTAAAGGATAAAGGATGAAATATTCTGGTTGCTCTCCTGCATTCAAGCTGGAATAAAAGTAAGAATTGTGAAAGAGTTTAAAAGTAAAACTTTATTTTATAAAAATGTTAAATATAAAACAAAATAGTTGAAACCATAAGGACGAAAAAAAAGTACATCTGTTTTTAACTTTTTTTAAACTATTTGAGTTAAACTTGACAAATGGTTTGTAAAATAATAATTTATTTTTTAAAGCCCCCCCAAAAAAATTTACTGTAGTTTTTTCTAACTTCTAGAAAAAAAAAAAAAAAAAATATATATATATATATATATATATATATATAAATATATATATATATATATATATATATATATATATATATGTGTGTGTGTGTGTGTGTGTGTGTGTGTGTGTGTGTGTGTGTGTGTGTGTGTGTGTGTGTGTGTGTGTGTGTGTGTGTGTTTGTTTGTTTGTTTGTATTATTTGCTTAAAATTAGGTGATTGTTTTTATAAAATAAGATAAATCACTTGATTTTGACTAATTATTTCTGAAAACCTTTTTTTACTTGTCTATACACCTGATAAAACACCTGTCTTGTCATCGATCCCAGTTGTAAGAGCAACAAATAATAACTTGACTTCTAGTTGATCATTTGGAAAAGAGGCAGAAGGTAGATTTTTCTGATGATTCATCTGTTAAACAGCATCCCAATCATCACAAATACTGCTGAGGACCTTTTTTAATCCGCATGGACCCAAGATTCTAATAGAAATCAGTCATATTTGGTGAAGGAAAAATCATGGTTTGTATTATACATACAATATGAGAACATGCAAGAGATCTGCAGAGTGGATTGCAACATCAACAGGCAATCACAATCATATTTTACTTTGGTAATAGAATAATCTAGAGGCATTTGCCTTTCATAGAAGTCACTTCCAATACCAAATGATCAACTAGAAGTCAAGTTATTATTTGTTGGTCTTACAACTGGGATCGATGACAAGACAGGTGTTTTATCAGGTGTATAGACAAGTAAAAAAATAGGATAGGTGGATAGGTGACAAGACTTTTGTCAAGTATGTGGACTAAAAATAAGGCAAAATCTCATAAGTAATAAAAGCTTTTATTTGCAATGGGTGACAAACACTTTACACTCAT